CGTGTGACGATAGCCTAGAATTTCTGACTAATGTCAAATCGGTCGGGTTTCGATCCCGGCTTGAATCAGTCGGACGTTTAGCCACACTGATGATACAGCGAAACAGTCTGTCTGTGGCTGACAGTACACACACACGCGCGCGCACATATATATGCATATAAACAGATTTAGATATATAGATGTTATAAAATAAATAAATAAATACAATAAACGTCAAAGTTAGGACCATAATTATTCTAAAACAGCCTTAAAAATATTTGGCCCTAAAGCCACTGTGGGATTATGAGAAAGGTGAAATTGGATTAGACCCCAAATATTTTTAAGGCTAATGTTTTAGAATAATTATGGTCCTAACTTTGACGTTTATTTTATTTATTTTATAACATCTATCTATCTAAATCTGTTTATATGCATATATGTTCACCGAAAGAGCAGTAAAATATGGGCTGATGATCACTTAATGCGTGAAACTGCCAGTTTTAACTTTCCATGCTGATTAGATCTACAAAAGCTTTAATCGCGCACACTTCCTCAATAATTATAGAAATTTTTTAAAAAATGTGATGTGTGTGTGTCAGGGATCCTTTTGAAATGTTTAATTTCAAAAACTACACTGAGATCAGTTGGTCTGTTCTATTTTATTTATTTATGCCAGTTTGATTTTGTTAATTAGGCTATGCATTCATGTTCATTCGGGGATCGCCAATAAATTATCGGTAATTATTAAAAGAACCCAAAAAAAAAGAAATCTTGTATGTGTTTGGTGCTAACTTACATGTGTGTATGTGTGTGTGTGTGTGTGTGTGTGTGTGTGAGAGAGAGAGAGAGAGAGAGAGAGATGAGCATATTTATTATGGAGCGAAGCCGACAAGCCGAAACACGTGTTTATAAACAGTTATTTGTCAACGAAAGAACGAGCGTAAAGATATTTTTTTACGAAAGATTAGTGTTACAGTCGAATAGTTCCAATTATTAACAAACAACACTTTTAGCGCGCATGCGCTTGCACACAAAACAAACCTCATTTCAAGAATTCCTATGTAAATTTATATATAGAACTGTTTGAGATTTACATAAATGAAAACAAAGATATTTTGTCGTGATTTATTGATATATAATTATAGTAAAAGTTATGTACACAACCGGATCAAATTACGTTTATAAATTTTTAACATCTACTGCTTCAACAGAATTTTCTAATGAAGTTATAAAAGCGAAACATTTTAAATTTATGAATGTTTTCCTATTCGTTCCTTATTTAATCGTCCTGTCGGATCATTAAATTCATATCTTTTCAATTCATATATGAATTTCTTCACGTGAACCACTGCTCCGTGGAACCGACTCCCAAGAGGATGTTTCCTAGATCACTACAATCTTAACCTATTCAAGGCAAGGGTTAAACCGTTACCTTGCCTCCTAACGTAACTCTCTTCCTCGAGTGGCTCCCTGACCTTGTAAAGAGTGAACCTTGCTGTATGTGTATGTGTGTGTGTGTGAGTGAGAGAGAGAGAGAGAGAGAGAGAGAGAGAGAGAGAGAGAGAGACTGATAGTATTTGCTTATTTTTCCATAGTCTTGCGAAAGGTCTCAAGCTGTTCTATTTACAGTAACTGGTGTTTCTAAGTGGTCACCCATCTAAGTACTACATGGGTTCATTGCTGCTTAACTTCAATCATAAGATAGAAACCACTACCTTTAGCGTAATAGTTATTTATTAAGGTTAATTTTGGCACGAAGCCCAAAAGCAAGGGGCTCTTAGTGTGAATTGAACTCTTTCCCCACTAGTATTGGTCTACTAAATTAGCTCGTAAAATCTAATTTTAATTATGACACAAGAAAACAAGTCCGGTATTGGTAATGGTAATATCAGCCGTTTTCCTACAAGGAAACATTTGGCATTCATTGACCGAGCAGCCAGTACTGTTTTCTGTTGAAATTTATAAAATCTTTCTCTGAAAATAATTTTTCAGAAAAATAGCATTTTCAAGTCCAGAAGCTGTTATTATACCAGTAGTATCTTTTATAATAGTGATGGGGATTATAATAGTATCTTTCCAGTAGTGATGGGGATTTTCTTTCCTAACCTTTTATTTGAAGTAGTGTGGAATGTCAACATCTTGGTCATGTCATTATTTTCACTTTGAGTTACATGTGGTATTCATTTCAGTTGCTGATGCTATTGGTAGTCCCGTGCAATCAATGAGTATCGAACTCATTAATCAATCGTAATTTGTTTGTGTGACTTGATTGTTAAATTTATAGTTATTTATTAGTCTTTATATATATATATATATATATATATATATATATATATATATATATATATATATATATATATAAGTAAATGCTTAATGTCAGTGTGCCATTGTGTCACACTTTTTTCAACTTTACTCCTACTTTACTCCTGGAGGCCGTAACCCAACATATCATACCATTTTGGAATCAGGCCAACACCGTGACCAAATTAAAAACATTTCGGCCTGGATCCGAACCGGCAATCCTGAAATTTTGAATTCCCAAGTTTTCATTACTGCAATTGTTTTCGGCGATTTACGTGATTATTTTTTGCGACGAATTTTTTGTACGATAAAAATTTTTTATAACTTGGAAATAAATATGGGAATAATCGAAATTAATTGCGAAATCCAGCGAAAGTCACCCATGAAATAAAAATAATTGTTTGTACGGAAAGTAAGGACCTACGTACATCAAATTGTGTGTGTGTGTGTGTGTGTTTGAGAGAGAGGGTTATTTTGCGTACATAAGTGACTGATTTTGTCATAAACTAAACAATTAGACAAGTTACAAACGAAAAGAACAAGCTGAGACTACACCATTACAATAAAAGAAATGTGATTCCAGGAGAACTGAGAAAAAGTGCTGGATAATTGTCGGGACCTGCTGTCACTTGATCTCAATGAAAATCTCACGATACGGAAAGTACAATAAAAATAAAATGATTGAGATTGTGAATTTGTTAAAACAAATAAACAAAAGAAATAAAAAGAAATGTACTGACAACCTTTTTTTTATCCCTATTACAATTGAGATACCCCATTGTTATGGTATTACGAATCATGTTCGTTTATTGCTATTAATGTTTCCTGTTACCATAACAACGGAATATCTCATCAGTGAGTAGTGAGGATAGGTTGCGTGACCGATACATATGTACATTCACATTGTGACGCTGAATATAGCATAAATTAGCTAAGTGACAATTATTACAGCTCTTCTATTTTGGAATATTTCAATGCGAAACAAAAGGCACATAAAATATTCCAAAATAGAAGAGCTGTCCTTCCTGACTAACCTAATGAATAGAAAAAATATATTATTCTACCACAAGTCTATCACAACTACAACTGAAAAGAATTTAAACTCAACATAGACAGGTATATATAATATATATTGACATGATTAATACAAATAAATGTAATTTAATTTGTCACCTATTAAATATTATAGTCCGTCTATCGAGAAAAAGGCACAAGAAATATTTCTTTTTCGACATAATCTCATTCCGAGTCAAAGTACTTAACTCAATCCTTTTCCATTAATCACATTGATCGAACATTATACAATGAAAATGTCAGATCAAAATTCAGGCATAGGATTTTGTCCGCCCTTCTAGCTATCAATCTATTATAATACAAGCAAAAATAATTGATATAAAATACAAAATTACATAAAGTGTTATGGATACATACGAAAAAAGTTTTTCTACATACGATGGGGATACTTAAAGTTATCGTCCCGACTTAGGTTTTCGAAAAATATTTGTTTTGGTCAGATGTTAGGAAATGAGTCGAGAACATTTCAGCACCTACATTGTACATATCATTGATTGATTGATTCGTTTTCTACGGCTTCGCTTATGAAACCTTTGGACGTTATTAAAACCAGAAAATACTTGTAGATTGTAAGTATTCTTTTCTAGATAATCGTTTAGTAGTGATAAAAGTTTTACTAATTAACCCATAGCTGGGGGTGGCGGAGAAGAGGTGGATTCATACTTTTTCTAAGAGTGTAACTGAATATAACGAACCTCAGAGGAATTGGAGCTCAAGGCGCTCTCCGATGAACAATTTTGAGTCATTATCCATTTCACCACCCGCACATCCAAACTTAGTATTCCTCAGGTATATATATATATATATATATATATATATATATATATATATATATATATATATATATATATGTGTGTGTGTGTGTGTGTGTATGAAATTTATAACTGTCCTAAGCATAAATGAATCAAAAATCTAACCTAAAATATGTCACCTGCAAAAATATTCATGTCGATATCAAACTTTTAAAACATGTTCCCCAAAAAATATGTAAAAATATGAAACTATGATTTATATTTTTTATTATTTTGCTATCGATTACATGTATTACCAATTCCAGTAATATTTCGAGAATAAAACAAGTATTATCGGGATTTGTAGGTAAGTCATGCAAAAATAGCTCATGTCGTAAAGAAAACCGTTTTATACTTTTATTATTATACTTATTCTATTTTTAATCAATTAACGATGTCGATGTAAGAAAGATTCTCCATAATAAGCTAAGCAAACAACCAAAAACCAACATAATGTTTTAGCGATTTTTTTACAGTAGTAAAAAAAAAAACAATGAATATTTTACGTGGTTACCTTCACTGAAAAACAACATAATGAAAAAGGCCCCAACCTTAAAAAAAAAAAACAAAGTATTATCGTCAAACAATATGTTTATGTTATTTAATTAAGAGGAAAGACCAATGTTTTATCAGTAAAATGAGTACTTAATTGTCAATTATTAACGATTCTTTTTTTAAGAAAAATAAAAGAAATAATTCTTGATTTCCAAACGTGCTGTAAAAATGATCTTTTTTGTGATTAGAAGACAACTCACCTTCATTTCACGTGGACGGCAGTTTATGTTCAACGGCTTTCTTTTAATAAGCGTCATTTTTCCACCGGTTGATGAGAAGATCTTTGTTACATGTGTGAGTCTAATTTCCGGTGGAAGGCGGGTACAACCGACCCAACTTACACAGTTCAAGACGAAACAAAGATAAGTTTCCGTTTTTACCAGAAGAAAATGTGCGAGAAGTGAGCGAGAGTAGGGTGAAGAGAAAAAAGGACGGCAAAAAAAGGTGAACGGAGTAGATATGAAGAAAGATCAGAGAAAGGAGAGGGACGCCTCGTTTCACAACAGCTGATGGCTGACCCGCAGGGTGGGTATATGGGAAAGAGCTGTTTTACTGCAGTCAGACCCACCTTCGTTATTTAAAATAGCTTCTCCGCTCTACCCGTAAATAAATATATAAATAAATGAATAAAAACTACGCTGCGCTCATAAATACATGCGTTACGAGTAGACACGTAATGACATAAACGGAAACTCTATTTGGTTATATGCGACGTCTATAATGAAGAAACGATAGAGGAAAGAAAGAAAAAATAGGAAAGAAAGAAGAAAAAGATACAGAAAGAGATATAGAAAGAAAGAATGAAAAGAGTGGAAAAAGGAAGAATGAAGAAAAAGAACGAGAGTAAAGAAAGAAAGAAAAGATATGACGAAAAAAGAAGAAAGCAGAGTAAGGAAAAGAGAAAGAAAGAGAAGGAAGTAAAGAGAAAGAAGAAATGAAAGAAAAAGAAACCAAAGAAGAAAGTAAGAAAAATCTAAAGTAGAAAGGCGGACAAAAAAGATAGATAGATAGATAGATAGATAGATAGATAGATAATGAACAGACTGAGATAGATACAGCAATACCCAAATATCTGATGTGAATAAGCAAAATAATAATAATAATGAGTTACATACATGTATAAAAGGTAATGTGTATATCATACACCTTCATCTGAAGTAAAACACGCAGATACTACACTGATCCCGGACGGAAGTGACGATCTCTACGTAAATAAACCCGTCATTTTTTACGGGTACTATGCTAATAATAATAATAAGTTACATAGATAAAATGTTATATGTATCCCTGTGTCCGCAGAACGCACAGATACTACACTTTGATCTTAAGCAGAGCACTCAAATACTACTCTGATCCCACACAGAAGTGATGATCCCCACGTAAATAACCCCGTTAGTTTTTGCGGGTACTATGCTAATAATAATAATAATAATAATAAATTACATAGATAAAACATCATATGTATCGATGTGTGTGTAAACTGTAACACATTCCACAGAACGCACAAATACTACACTTTGATCCTAAGCAGAGCGCACATACTACTCTGATCCCGGGCAAAAGTGACGATGGCTACGTAAATTACCCCGTTTTTACTGGTACTATAATAATAATAATAATAATAATAATGATAATAATAATAATAATGATGATGACAGATTTAAAACGTCCAGAGGATAAAAAAGACTCCTTTTTAGCTACTTTCTTATTACTTCAGCGGCTGGAATAAAAAATCGAGTGCAGTGGCGTTTCTGTGAAGATCCATGATTAGCACGTTTTGTTTTTCTAATATGAATCGTGCCCACACTGTGTTATTGCGTTGCCAAGTGACTTGGTGACACTTGAAATAAAGCTAAACACTTGGCGACACAATGGACAATAAAGACGGTGTCACTCTTGACTGGGTTGAAAATCTTAATACGACTGAAGGGGCAGGATTTACAATGTGGTCGGTAACGGACGCCCACCTCTAATATATTTATAAATGCATATCTCGTTTCTTAATAAATGTTACCGTAGGTAAAAGTGTTAAGTGTTTAAATAAGTTTTACAACACAAACCAGCCCTTACAATAACTACAGTTATATATTTTAAATGATAAGGCATAAGTGTTAGTGAGACTCGTTATTACTAGTTTACCAACGAAATGGTAAAAATGGTGTAAAACATACGAACAATGCTTAGTGATCGCCATAAAACCAAATCATGAAGCTGTATAAACGGCATCGATCTTCATATAAACTAACTGGTGGCAATGAAGGCTACAACAGAGGATTGTCAGTTTTCTTCTTCTATGCACCGTGTCCCTTCAGGAAGTTGGCGGTCATGGCTCTCCACAATTGCCTGTCCTTTGTAGCTCTTAATAAATTTTGTCTTTTTTCTATCTCTCTTAAACTGCCATCCATTTACTCAAGCTCGCTAGGTAGGTTATGCGTTGTTTTCATCTGTCCTTCTTGCCTTCAATATGTCCTGTCAGTGTCAAATTTTCCAAGTCCTCCTTCCTCATTATGTGACCCAGAAATTTCAACTGTCTCTTTTTGATGTTAAGTATAAGTGTCCTTTTTGTTTCCATTTTCTCTAAAACTTTGTCGTTGCTCACATGTTCGGTCAATGATATCCTTCTGTAGAACCACATTTCTGTTGATTCAAGGTACTTCTTCATCTGTGAGGAGATTGTCCAGCATTCACTGCCATACAGGAGGACTGATATTACAATACTGTTCAGTACTCTTTTCTTTGTTTCTAACGAAGTTTTCCCGTGTCTTAATACTTGCTTAGCTTTTGGAAAATATCTTTCGCTATCCCAATGCTCCTTTGGATTTCAGTGTCACATTTTCCGTCCTTTATTTAAAAACTTCCCAGATATTTAACTTGTTGTACTTGTTTGATTTTGGTATCTCCAACCTGTAATTTGCATTTTGGGCTGTTCTTTTTGCTAACAAGCACGCATTCTGTCTTCTTGAAATTGATGTTTAGTCCTTTCTTCTCGCTTTTTTTCACTACCTTCTGTAAGAGTTATTGTAGTTTCATTTCTGTGTCTGCTATCAACATTTTGTCATCTGTATATCTTATGCTGTTAAGATTGTGGCCGCCAATAAAGACTCTTGGTAGGACATCTCAATCTCTCAGAATCGCCCCGCTGTATAGTTTGAATAAATCCGGTGAGAAGATACATCCTTGTCTTACACCCCTTTCTATTTTTGTATATTTACTGAATTCATTTTCTATCTGTACGCAAGCGTTTTGCTGCCAGTATATGGTCTGGATTATTCTAATATCTTTGCCAAATATGTCAACTTTACTGAAGAGTAAAAATAACTTTACGGACAAGTCATGGACACTCAAATCTCGGCTACTGACTGTTGGTTCATTTCAATGTCTGTATGAAAGGCATGAACCTGAATATCTTTGAGTCTTATTTTGATAGAGAACAACACAAACAGAGCGAAAGAAGAAGTAAAGAGATTCAATGTAATTCTCTTCACCTCAGCTGTCCTAGATATGACGATAAATTACATCCGGCAGCATGGCCTCTGAGCGGAAGATTGGAGTTTTTAGAAGCGTGGGACCACCTTTTAATTGCTGTTCTTCCCAGGTTGATCCGGGGTGGTAGCTATGGGCAAATAGTGAACACCCAAAGAAAAATCAACATTTATAATAAAATGACCAACAATGTATTTTTCTAGTAAAATGACAATCAATGCAACACTTAAAGATATAAAAAATATCTTTTTTATAGTAAAATTACCAACAATACATTTTATGATCTACAAACTACAGGGTGCCCAGTAAAAAAGCGGAAAATTTATTATCACTGTTTTATCTTTCAGGAATAATTGACCTTGAATAACCTTGAATAATTTTTTTGAATATTCATGACCTTGAATAATCATTCGACTCTCTCGCAATTACTTAACTCTGATTGGTTCTTTTAGGATTGATTAATTGCTGTTCGATGTGACTCGCCATTTAAAGGTTATTTGCATTCGTCTTTCGTTCTGCCCTTCTCGTATGGCTAACCAACTCACTGATTTTGAGCCTCAAGTTATCGTACTTTTCAAAGAAGAACAACCGACGTGGGGATTGATGAGATGTGCAGAAATTCTTCCTGAATTTTTCAGTCACATCAGTTGTCACCAGTTTCAATTGTCTCAAAATTTCTGAATTTTTTTTTTTTACTGGGAAACATTTTTCATATCTAAAAACACAATGTTTGTCCTGAAAGTAAAACAAATCATGTACAAAATAGCTGTAATTGAAGCCATAAAATTGCGTACAAAATATTTGGATTTAAATTATCCATACAGAGGTGTTGCTATGTCGCCAAACAAAATAAACTAACCAAATCTTCCTCAGATTCTATGCAGAAACATTAAAAACATAAAAAAAACAAAATTCAGAAAATTCCATAATTTAATATACTGAAAATGTATTATATATAACAACTAATCATAGAGGGCACCTTACCGCGCATGTGTAAACACACACTTCCCTGTGGTGCTACTCAGTCGACAGGCAAACGTCACTGAGTATGTCTACTGTGCGATACACGCATTTGTCATGACCGAGCAATTAAATCGATGAAGTCCAGCATAAGTTTCTTTCTGCATTTTTTTTTCAGACATCGCATCATCCTGAGGCAGTGAGTGTCAGCAGTGAGTGGCATGTCGGTTTCACTTAATTTCCCACCGCATTAGCGTAATTTCCCTGTGCCTTTGCTATAAATATTTTTATGGTAATTATTCTAATACGCTTTCCTTTTTGGTACCTCGACTTTATGAATTTAAGCGCTGTACTTGATTGGCAGCTAGGTCTCATCATTTTACAGTTGAAAAGGTTAGTTGTAATTAAGAATGGTTTTTTCATTAACAGTTTCTTCTATAGCATTTCTCACTTGTAGAACTCTCTTCCGACCACTTACTTTCCAGTCAATATTGATATTGAAAAATTTAAATGCAGTGTCAATCGTTAGCAGATGTCATCTTAATTTTTCAAGTTCTTTTAGCTGGTATTTAAAAGATTCTTTTAATGACATTTTTATTTTTCTCATATTCTTTCACACTCAGTAAACCCTTGCATCTTAGTGGCTTTATTATCATATTCGGGATGCAGTGATAAAAGAAGAGATTTCAATTGTGGAAGAGATTACAGAGAACGTGACGAAACAATTGATGGCATTCCCGAATGTAGGTTTTGCAGACTGGTGCAGTGGAAGAAACGAGCAATTGGCACAAAAATTCTCTGGAAGTTTTGGTTTAAATTCTTGTGTCTGGTGGTTCTGAAACGTTGCATACTCTGGTTCAGTACCTCTTAAGGCGAAATAGACTGACGTGAGTTATCTCCCCTAAGCATGAAAAGGTTCGGATTTCCGTGTCGCATTTTCCATGAAAAAGAAAGCGAATTTATTTATGTCGTGCTCGGCTATTCTGTCTTGTATTAAAAAATTATTTACATCAACTGCCTAAGATCAAAATATCTCTTCGTGACCATCTGCATAGATATGCAGGCACTATAACCGTTTACGACGCGAAAAATGGAATCGACGAACCGAGTTCTAATTATGGCCTCGCCTTTTTTTTTTTTTTTTTTTTTAAATAAATGGGATAATAAAAACTATCAACAGCCGATTTCAACCAAAAAAAAAGCAAAACATTATTGAAAGAGAGGACAATAAAAAAATGATTCCTGATTTGCCTTTTAATATCGACATTCCATTTAAATTTTTGAAGATCGTAGTTGATAGAAAATTTTCCTTTTTTTTCTCCTTAACTGTTCCACTGGCGAGAAATATTGGGAATGAAAACTGTTAGCATAAGAACTTACATCTCCCAAAAAACAAAGCAGTAAAATGATGTAATGTAGCTACTAATCTAATAATACGTTTAAATTCAAAAAAAATATGTACCAAAGACTTTTAAAGCTCATCTAAAGCAATTACCATAAAATATTTATAGAAAGGGCCATTAAAAATGGAAAAAAAAGAAAAAAATGGGAAAGTTTAAAAAGAAGATGCTATTGTTTCATCTCCGATAATATTGCAGATTTTTTCAAGTTTCGCATTTTATAAAGAATAGAATAGCTAAATAGAAGAAGCGCCAGACCAGATGCAAGAAAAATATTTTTTCACGGACAAAAATTGACT